AATGATTGTAAATCGTTGATTTGTGTGAGATTCGTTATAAGACTCACATCATTTAATTCCTTTACTTGTCCCTATCGAGCAAAAAAGATTTTTTATTTGCCCAAACTTTCCGTTTTACATGTGAACTCGACTTAATTGATGTTAAGAAAGCCTATTATATACACGGAAATTGATGGGTATATGCCAAGTAACAAAATGCAAAAGATGGAATAGTGCATAATTATTTATTCAATCAAATTTAGAGGTTTTAATAAAGAAAAAACAAAAGCATCTATCCATCTGTTTATAGGTATATTATTGCAGACAATGGGGTCTCATTTCTCATGGAAGCACTTATATATATGTGATTGTCAGTCCACCATATACGACCACAAGCATTGGAAGACTTTTGACCAAAACATAAAATAAAAAAACTTGGTGCGTTGGTAAATTGGTAATGGTTAAGATGATGAACTAATATGATGGGTTTTTATGATAAATATATATTGATGAATTTGAGCAAATTATGGTATAAACTCTTCCAAGCTATGAAATTACAAACTAACATTGAAACATTAGTATTTGGAGAATGCTAGCAACCTTCTCTTTTACATCTTCTCTCTTTTTGTCATGACATATGTCACTTTATTTACACTTAAAACAATGTCATTAATAATCAAATAAGTTAGTTTTTGTTTTTCAAATTTACCCTTATTTGGAGGTTAGAGAGAGACCAAAAATCTTGGATTTTTTTTTCTCATTGCACAAATGTGAGAGAGAGAGAGAGAGAGAGAGAGAGTGTGAGATGTTGGGCTGTGTCGTGACTCGTGGGTGGGGCAGGGTGGCTTGGGATCGGGCTGTGAAAACTCAAAGGATTTTTGACCTTTTAGTTTCTATCAAGGGCATATATGAAAATTCAATTTAATATTTTTTTTAAAATTAAAAATATTGTTTTGAGTGAGAAAGAAGTGCCACATTTTCTTAGGAAAAGGGAGAAGGTTAGAGAGAAAGTTGCTAGCATTCTCCTTACTATTTTTCATATCAAAATAACGAATCTCGAGTCCCTGCATTTAGCATCCGTGCATTTACACGCATTTAAAGGGATGTTAACCATTAGATTGACCCAATGAATTTTAACAAGCCCACATCTCAGCATGTTTTTACACCTTATGTGTATCTAATACCTTTGAAATATAATTAAAAGTACAAAATAATAGTCTCAGCCCCCAACCCAACCCCTACTCGGCCGAACCCTAAACCACTCCAACCGGTTGCTGCTATCCATGGCCACCACCTCTCTCTACGCCATATATAGTCATATCGTAGTATTTAACATGGAATTATTATCTCAACAGCAAGCAAGTAGTTCAAAAATTAAACTGCAATTGAAAGTCCTAAAGGTGCTAGTGAAGGTGTGTGTGAGAGAGAAGAAAAGAGAGTGAGAAGTAGCGGCAATTGGCAGGCAGTATAGGGGGTTGGGTTAGGGAGGAAGGTGGTTGATGTTTGATGGGAGTTTTTAATTTTAAAGATATACATATAATAAGGTGCAAATGGTGAATTTTGGTATAATACAATTACGATGATGTGGACTTATTAAAATTCATTAGATCAATTTAATGGTTAACATCTCTTTAAATACGTGTAAATGTACGAATGCTAAATATAGAGACTCGGGATCCCAAAATAGCCTTGTTGAATCTTTTTTTTTCTGGAAAAAGAGTTTTTGTGATAAGTCCCTAACAATATTCAAACACTAGCTTATTGAATATTATTTTTTAAAATATAAATTATAATTTAAATTATAAAATATGAGAGTTTCTCTCACACATACTATTAAGATATAAGATATGATGAGGGACTTTCAATTAATAATGCACGTATGTAGTGTCTTTATTTGTTCGATATAATTATTTAACAACTTTTAATTTTTTTTAAAAGCCTGTTTTATTTATAAATTGTTTATATTGTGTTGAATAATAAAAACGTGGTACGACAGCGGGTCACTTATCTGCACACCCACGTGCTCTGATGCCCAGTCCAACTACTATGGGGACGGCCCCACCCGATAATTAATCGCTTTTTTACTCATCCAACGGTGGATTATTAGCCAGGACCCAAGGAGGACGTACAAATTGGCACTAAGTCACTGTCCCGCGGTTGCAAAAGCCAAGTAAATCACATCATGATTCCCACGAATTAGGAACTACTTTATTTGGAATTTAAAAAGAAAAGAAAAAAATAGAACAAGAATTCACATATTGAATTTATAAACTTCGAAGATTTATATAAAACTTTACAAACCACCTGAAAAAGAAAAATTAGGGAACCAAATGGAAGGTTGGGTCAGATGATCATGGCCTAACGTTGCCAAAGCATCTGCTACAGAGTTTGCTTCCCGATAAACATGCCGAAATTGAAGAACTAGATATCTTGATAAAGAGAAAGTATACTCCAAAAGATGATGGAAGTGGAACAAAATATTATAATAATTTTTAGAATTAAGTAATAAGGCAAATGAGTTTTATTGTTATATAAATAAATAAAAGAGCAAGTTGAAATTGAAAAATTCCTCCTCTTGCACGTTATAAATTTACTAGCCTCTTCGCATGCGCTTCAGCGCCTGTGAGAGGTTTTTTTTAAAAAAATTTTATTTTATTTTAGAATTAAAAAAGATAATGGGTAGTTGTGTTCCATAACAATATGATTTTTCTTTTAATTTTAATATTTTAAATATGAAAAAGTGTGAATTTACCATATTAACCTCATTTAATTAATAATTTCAATTCTTAATGTTTGCATTAACCAAGGATATTTTTGAAAATTTTACCATTTTCTATCTTTTGCTTTATATATAAAAATAAAACAGATCATTTTATTGTATCATCTATTTTATGATTATAAATAGTCAAATTTGGTTGTCTAACCAAACACTAGTGTTTATTGCACAAAAATCGCAGTAGGCCAAGCCCAAAGATATTATATTTGGTATGTGGACAACCAACAAGATCATCGGCGGAGACCCCATTCAGATTTAATAATGTAAATGAATCACAACTTTGTGGGGACCACCATACCATGTAATGATGTATTTGATTGGAATTTAGGATTATTAATTTATGATGACACAAATCGCCCAAAAGAGTTTAATTCCTTGTGCAAATAGTGCATGTTTTGGGAGGAATCACAATCCGACGGTCCAGGGAATCCAGCGCGGTAGTTGAGACTTGAGGGTGTCTCTGTCTACAGTCGGAGGTGTCAGGCACAAAAAAGTTTGGCTGGCCACATGTGAGTCAATGAAAATATCAAATAAATCTTCGAGTCAATGAAAATATCAAATAAATCTTCACACAAAAAATCAAAAACACTAAAGGACACAAGGGTAATTTTGTCCACCAAACCCTTCCTCCAGTGTAATGAATACTAGAGGTTGTGATAGCATGATTGGTGACGTGGAAGCCCAGGTGTCCAATGGGACGAGTTGGTGACATGGAAGTCCAGGTGTATAATGGGTGTAGTTGGCACAAACAACTCAATTGATAAAGAATTTGACTTTTTTAAAATTTTAATAGATTAATAAATAGTGGGCTATATTTAAAACAACTCATTTATATAGGCTTGATTTTTTTTTTCTCCAAAAACTTCACTGTGCTACAGCCCACCTAAGTCATTGGAGTAGTTGTGCCAGTGCATTCAGGTACAATGTCTCCATTGTCATTGGTTCCAAAATGTTTGAATGTGAATTGCATTGTCTCCCTATATCTTATGTGCACTCAATTTTCCATAAACCACAAAACCAACTTAAAGAGGGAGAAGAATTTCCATGCACTTGGGATGTCAGCAGTTGACAGTATCTCGAACCAATCAGACGCTACATGTATTTTAAATTTCTCACGTAACACTGAATGATTGATTTAAGATACTATTAACATGACATTAAAAGTATGGTATATAGATGTTTTTCTCCAAAATATATGGAAGGAAAAGGAAGAGGAAAAGAGAGGGAGGCAACTTAATGGGCTCAAAATTGGGTGTCATCCCGTAGGTGTGTGAAGTAGTGGCCTAATTTTTTAATGATAAACTTCAGTATGGTCTTCAATTTGTGAAAAAAGGGATTTATTAATCAAGGAAAGAAGAGAGGTTATTTTCATAATTACAAATAGAGAATAAAACTATGAAAAAGTCATTACACATGTTAAGTTTTGAGAAAAATTATGATAATACGCTTTGAGTTAAAGGAATGAGTACATATGCATTGCAAACACGTATCACCCATTGGTATTTAATGTGCTTTTATGGAGCCTCCATTGGGTTGAGGCTAGGTCATGACATTGACAACTATTAAGCAACAACTATTTTTGGGGACCCTTGGAGTCCTATAATATTAACAATGTTGGAACATTTCTTCCCCCAACTTGTTACTTCTTCCCATTATTCTCAACTTTGGCTATATTTAGAAGTTACAGTTGTCTTTTTAAAAAAGGAAAAATGTTGAAGTTGAAAATAAGTTGGAAGAAAGTTACAAAAGATTGGTGATAGTCTAGCGGCTTTCCTGGCAGGACACTTAATTTCGTTGGCAGAGGTAAATTCTCTAATTTGCTCGAGTTAAAAAATTCTTTGCAGCTCGTTTCAATTTGTTAAAAGAAAAATAAAGAAAAATTGATAAGAAATTTGTAACTCAAGTGCTTGGTGAGATTCCTAGCTACGTTGATGCTACCTTTGATGATGATTTATTAAGAGTTTCTAAAACTCGTACAGTTTCTGTCATTTAATTTTTATGTGTTTAGGGGTTAATCCCCCATTTTTTTTTTAAAAAAAGTGATTATCTGCATATGAGTTACTTTGTATTTTTTTGAAAAGAAAAAAGAAAAAAAAGCCATTTGGGGTGAGAAATGATTTGAGGAGGCCTTGTGAATTAACAAAATCAAAAATCACCGTGGGATGCCGTTTGTCATCGTGACATAGGGGCAAGGGGAGTAAATTTAACAAAAGTTGGCGGTCAAAGATAGAAGGCGCCCTCCATCTCATCAAATGTGCACGAAGCTCACGAAGTCTGCATTTTGGCAACTCTGAAGAGAGAGGGAGCGAGAGAGCGAGGTCTCTTCCCTATATATACCCAGCGAAGCCTCCCAAACGTAAAGCACCTCCACTCCTCCACACATCTCTCTCTCTCTCTCTCTGCGAATTCCTTGGATTCTGTGCAGGACTCCCATTTCTCTCTCTCGTTCTCTTCCTAACCTCAGCTTGACCAACAGCTAGAGACAGCGGACGGCATTTTGGGATCTCTCAGATATTTTGGTGAGGGATTTCATTTGAAGTGACTCGCGAGGAAGAAGAAGAAGAAGCACCAGAGAAAGAAATGGCCAAGAACGTTGGAATTCTCGCCGCCGACATCTACTTCCCTCCTACCTGTATTCAGCAGGTGACGATCCCTCGCACACTCTATATTTTCGTTTTTTTTTTCAATTTTTATTTTTTCAAAATTTTCAATTTTTATATATATATATTTTATTTGTGGAATTTCTGTTTTCGTTGCTTGGAGAAGTGAGAAAATCAGGAAATGGAAATAAAAAATCGTTTTGGATTTGTTATTCGCTTGTTTTTGTTGATCAGGAAAAGAGAGAGAGAGAGAGAGAGAGAGAGAGAGAGAGAGAGAGAGAGAGAGAGAGAGAGAGAGAGAGAGAGAGAGAGAGAGAGAGAGAGAGAGAGAGAGAGAGAGAGAGAGAGAGAGAGAGAGAGAGAGAGAGAGAGAGAGAGAGAGAGAGAGAGAGAGAGAGAGAGAGAGAGAGAGAGAGAGAGAGAGAGAGAGAGAGAGAGAGAGAGAGAGAGAGAGAGAGAGAGAGAGAGAGAGAGAGAGAGAGAGAGAGAGAGAGAGAGAGAGAGAGAGAGAGAGAGAGAGAGAGAGAGAGAGAGAGAGAGAGAGAGAGAGAGAGAGAGAGAGAGAGAGAGAGAGAGAGAGAGAGAGAGAGAGAGAGAGAGAGAGAGAGAGAGAGAGAGAGAGAGAGAGAGAGAGAGAGAGAGAGAGAGAGAGAGAGAGAGAGAGAGAGAGAGAGAGAGAGAGAGAGAGAGAGAGAGAGAGAGAGAGAGAGAGAGAGAGAGAGAGAGAGAGAGAGAGAGAGAGAGAGAGAGAGAGAGAGAGAGAAAAGAGCTCAGCTGGTTAAGTAGTTGTTTTATTTGTTTTGAAAAAAAGAAAAAACGATTCTGAGCTACTAGAAAATTTGATGATCTTCTTAGAGTTAATTTCGAAGTATTCTGGACCCGTTTTTCTTTTTCTGTTAACGTGTGAAGTATTATCATTAGACATTTTGATCTGGAATTGGAGGACAAAAATTACACTCTGTTTAAATTCTTCTTTTCATTTAATAACTTAACTGTATGTTGATGATCTGCGTAATGTTTTTTAGCTTTGTTTGTTGTACATTTGTGTGCTCTGATTGGAAACAGAGGCTACTTTGTAGACTATCTAATTCTACTAATTTCTGAACCAAAGGAAAATATATATACTAATGAATTTGCTCATGCATTAACTAACAAAGAAAAAGAAAAGGTCTAGATATGTCCATGCTTTTTCTGGAAAAAAAAAAAAAAAAAACTTCAAGTGAGAGATTTTTCTTTCTGGGTTTGAATTTCCAGAAATTATTTGAACATTTTATAGTATCTCAGTTGCCAACATACGCAAACACAAGGAGCAGTAGGGTGTTAGAAGCTTATCTTACTCCAAGCTACAATTCCCTGCAGTGCTTATATTGATATGTGCATCATGAAGTCTTGTAAACCAAACTAGTTAGATTTCCATCAACTAATCAACTTTTTAATTCTTTATGAAAAATAGGAAGCCTTGGAGGCTCACGATGGTGCAAGCAAAGGAAAGTACACTATCGGACTTGGACAAGATTGCATGGCGTTTTGTTCAGAGGTGGAAGATGTCATCTCCATGAGGTACTAGTTCTACATCCAATCATCAATATTTTTGTAACTTAACACATTGTATTACTCCCCTCATTGCCATTTCATTTAGTATTAATTAGAAGGTTTTAAGAGCACACCGATACGAAAACTGTCTGACTTCAACCATGGAAAGCTGATGATTCAAAGTGAAAACCTGCATTAACAATGGGAACCTTCTAACCCAGTTTGGACATGATGATCATAATTGCTATCAATTCCTTTCCGGGGAGCATCTTGTTGAGACTCTATACTCATTAACTTTTGGGTTTGAATTTTCAGTTTGACAGTGGTTACCTCCCTTCTTGAGAAATATGGGATTGATCCAAAACAAATTGGTCGGCTGGAAGTAGGCAGCGAAACTGTCATAGACAAAAGCAAATCTATTAAGACCTTCCTGATGACAATTTTTGAGGTATTGTCCTTGTGATTTTAGATACATTTTGTCTTGATTCTGTTTTTCTGTGGATGGAGTATGATGAGTGAAAAGTTAAATATGTTAGAGGACTAGAATGTCAGATGAGGTACAAGTGATAAACATTATTCAAACAGTTAACGTTGGCTCAAAATATGTCAACCCTTTTAGTATATGGAAACTGAGATTAGAAGGCAAAAATTGGTTTTATCAAGTGGTGAAAGGCATAGTTGGCCAAAACAACTTACAACTAGCTTGGGTGGATTTTGGCTCCTGGTTCAAAACGCAATGCTTGTTTTTCACCACCTTTTAGGTTTACCTGTATGTTCTGTCATTATTCTGCTTTTAATAAGAGTTTTGTTTGGTATGCTATTTTATGCCTTATCTGGAGCTGATGTCCATGAAATTTTTTGACACGTTCTTTCTCATGTTAAACATGCAGAAACATGGAAATACTGACATTGAAGGTGTCGACTCAACTAATGCATGCTATGGGGGAACTGCAGCTTTATTCAACTGTGTGAATTGGGTGGAGAGTAGCTCGTGGGATGGACGCTATGGGCTTGTCGTGTGCACTGACAGTGCGGTATGAACATTTACATTACCTTGGGCTAATGTCAATAACAGCAAATACTTCTGAATCAGAGATGCAATTCTGTTTTCTTAATTTTGATAGTCAAACTCGTGTTGTATGTGCAATACAAATCAAGATACTGATTCACTTCAACATCAGAGTTAGACAGCCATTTATGTCAGTTTTTATTCTATTTATCTTATTGGAGGTGTTATCTATCAGGTCTATGCCGAAGGACCGGCCCGACCAACTGGTGGAGCAGCTGCTATTGCTTTGCTGATTGGACCTGATGCTCCTATTGCTTTTGAAAGCAAAATTAGGGGAAGTCATATGGCTCATGTCTATGATTTTTACAAGCCCGACCTTGCTAGTGAATATCCGGTAATCCTTGCTACTATTTTTGACATATACATGAGTCATATGTTGCTTTTTTATTTTATTTTTCCTGATTGTTTCTTAGGATCCAAATTGAGTTAGGGCTAGCAATATTTAAATTTGAGCGATGCCTTACTTTTCTTTTTATCACTATATAATCATAAAATTTTCATATTTGCAGGTTGTTGATGGAAAACTTTCTCAAACATGTTATCTGAAGGCTCTCGATTCTTGCTACAAGGAATTGTGTAAAAAGTGAGTTCCTATTAAATACTGAATTGATTCTAATTTGTTTCATTGTGTTTTCTATTATTTGTCCCTATGTAATTGTCTAATTGTTTTCTTGCCTCCTATAGGTATGAGAAATTGGAAGGCAAACAATTTTCTCTGGCTGATGCTGAGTATTTCGTATTTCATTCTCCTTATAACAAGGTATAGTTTCTTAGGACTTCAGATATTGCAACTGATCCCTCTTTCTGGTTTACAATTGAAATCTTGAATGTTTTCTTTTCCATTAAAAAAATAATTTTTTCCATGACTTATTGCAGCTTGTACAAAAAAGCTTTGCCCGTTTGGTATTCAATGACTCCGAGAGGAATGCCAGGTTTCTTGTTTTTCCTTGATCTCTTTAAAAATCACAATGCCTTACTTCTGGAAATTTATTCTTAATGTATGTTTGCTTGGTGATTTATTTCATTTCCTTCCATACGCAGCTCCATTGATGAGGCCGCTAAAGAAAAGCTGGCCCCATTTGCGAGCCTACCTGGTGATGAGAGCTACCAAAGCCGGGATCTTGAAAAGGTATAGTTAAAACCTTCTTATAGAGCTACCAAACTAACTGCTAGCATAGTTTTTAAATTCTTGCTGATGATCTTTATTTCATATATTTAAATACAGGTATCCCAGCAAGTTGCAAAGCCCCTATATGATGCTAAGGTGCAACCAACAACTTTGGTACCAAAGCAAGTTGGGAACATGTACACTGCATCTCTTTATGCGGCATTTGTATCGCTCCTCCATAATAAGCACAGCTCATTGGTAAGTGCCCTAAATTTCTTATCCAAAAGGCTCGACTTCTTCACCTGAAAATATATGGTCTCATAAATTGTATTTGATAACAGGATGGCAAGCGGGTGATACTCTTCTCTTATGGAAGTGGCTCAACTGCTACTATGTTCTCATTGCGCCTCAATGCCGGTCAACATCCCTTTAGCTTGGAGAACATTGCAGCAGTGTTGAATGTTGGAGAAAAGTTGAAGTCAAGACATGAGGTACTTGTTTCTTCATCCCTTTTCCATAAGCATAGTTTCATGACATATCATTCAGAGACGAACAAACTTGTTTGCTCTCAAATAAATGCTTGCCTCCTTAAATCATAATCCGGATTTACAGTGTGATTCCAACAAATTATACAACTTGCTACTTCGGTTTTGAAATTGCTATATTAAAATTTAAAATCCTTGGGAACACGGAGATCATTTTTCCGTTGCCCTGAACCTTTAGCTTGCTTCATCACCTTGCCTGGGTATAAGTGGTAATATCGTAGTGGAGGTAAAATCAGGGTTGAAGATAGGTGCATGTCATGATGATGCAATGCATAATACCACTGGGGCTTCGCGCAAATTCATCACATGAAAGTCACTGTGGGATGCAATTTATTTATTCTACATGTGTCTTTGATGCAGTTCCCGCCCGAGAAGTTTGTTGAAGTTATGAAGATCATGGAGCACAGGTATGGTGGCAAAGACTTTGTGACAAACCAGGACATTAGCCTTCTACTTCCAGGCACATACTATCTTACTGAAGTTGACTCTAAGTACCGTAGATTCTATGCCAAGAAGGAAGGAGGCTGTACTGCCGCCGTCACCTCCAATGAGAATGGAGTGGTTGCCAACGGTCACTGATGAACATATCCAAGTCTGTAAATGCCAAGAAGTAGGCATTTATGTTATTAGATGTCAGTTGTAACTCGTAAAGCAGAACATCTTACATCTCCGGCTTCCATTAAGTTTGTATGTTAAAAGCAAATAGTTTGTTTCGCAGCAAGTATTGACAGGTTAAAATTGTTATTTTTTTTCTTTTTGATAATAAATTGTTCAATAAAAATTAGTTTCACGATTGTTAAAAACCAAGAAAGTGTTGTGAGCAAACTGAGCATCTTCATCCCCCATCACCCATGATTATCAGATTGTACCAGAGTAAAGTCATTGACATAAGCCCATCTCTGAAAAGGGAGGGGGCTGACACCGACTCTGATGAAAAGTATACTATTTCATTATGATTACGAGTTATGGTCTAGGGTTGAGAGTTGAGAGAGTCTTGCACACAACCAGCTTACCTAGAGCGATGCTCGAGTCAGTTGTTTATGTGTGAGAGGGTCGGCTCTTGGCTGTTGATGCATGTTGATGTATTGTGGTAGAAAAGTTTCTATGTAACAGGAATGGGATATATCCTGTGCGACAGGTAAACTCTATGTGTGGACAACTGACGTTAGCGAAATCCTCTCACCTTTTGCGGAGTCGATTTTGTGAAGCTAAGGGGCTTTCTAATAGAAGCACCTTACCTTGTGCGGATTGTGTTTGTAACTTGTGAGAATGGAAGGGTATGAGACAAATATGATGAGGCCAGTCAAAGCCGTGGCAGTGTGGTCAAATATCACTGTGTCTGAAGCTTACAAAATGACATTTTAATGTCAATAGACTGCTAGAGCCCAAGAGTTGGGATGGCGACGCTGACAAAGGAACCAGATTTGTGCACAATTAGCTTATGAATATACTCCGTTCTGGGAAAATTATGAATTTATGATGGCGTTGTGAGCCGCTAAAAGGGGTAAGAAATGTAATTAGCGTATTAATCACTGAAAACAATGTTAACTAGGTGTGGGGGGGATAAAAAGAGAGCTCATCAACTTGACTCTTGGCCGGCAAGTCAACACAGTCACTCAAACAGATTTAACGGTCAATAAATAAAATCCCACTTTTGGCTCTACCCATTCGACCACTACTCCATCTTGCCAAAGAATAGGTCTAACATATTTTGTGACTCAAATGACATATTTAAGTTGGAGTGGTAATGCAGATATGGTATAGACTAGTTGGTAAGTGTAGTGAATTTGTTCATTCGCATTAAGTTTAAATTCTCTCTTAATATATTAGATTAATTTACAGTTTAAATTATCATTTTTATAAATAATAAAAAAGATGGAGTGATTTATTTTTCGATATATATCGTATCTCTAAATTATTATACGCTAATTAACTTTTAATTTACTAATATTTATCTTTCTAATGTAAAGAGAAACTGATTGATCGTTTTAACGTTTAGAGAAGCTGGTTTATGATTTCTAATATTAAAAAGATGTCTGTCTTAGTTGGAGTTCAACTTTCCATTGATGAATAATAATAAAAATATATTTAATTGTGGTCGTTTTTATTATTTTGTTGAAAGTAATTATGGTCCTTCTAACATTTGGCTCAAAAGGAAAATTTAAAAAAGGCAAGAAGGACTTTAGGCTTTGTAATACTAATAGGCTGATGGACCACAGTAAATGGGGCGATGAGGCCAAATTGCTAAGTGCCAACCAATAACCAATGAAATCTACTGAAGCATTTTTCCAGACCTTTCTGAGTGACTCCATCTCTTTGATCCGATTGGCTGGGGCCTCAGTGGTCCACCACCACAGATTGGGACACGTCATTAGCCGTGGCCCACCCAAATAGGTCCCTAAAACGTGGCCCCATCCTCCACCCTACGATCATCATGATCTCATTGTGCTTGTAAAATTCCAAATAGTGGGGCAGTGGGGCTCCCTTATTGTTATTTGTTATTTCATCCCCAATTCTTTTTTTTTTAATTTCTGTCTTTCCGTTATATTACTATATTTTCACAGTTTCATTTCTTCATGCTTCCTTCTCTACCGTCCCGTGTATGGATTATGGAGATAAAGCCTTCGCCTTTCACTTCGTCTCTCCAAAACTCACGAAGCTGATCAAAACCCTAATCATTTTCCCGCAGATTCTCTCGAACCAAACGGTCCAATTCTTCTCCCTCTTCGAACTGAAAACCCATCTGCGTCACTGACTCTCTTTTCTTTTTGTTATTTTTGGTCTCCGAAAATGACGTCGTATTTGGAGGATCAAGACGACGACGGAGGCACCTCCGATCTCAGCACCAGCACCGGCGACCCCGAAGACAACAACAACAACAAAGGAAACAGGGTCGTTTCGACGCAACCCGACTTCGACGAGACGACGACGTTTCAGCAGCTGAAGGAGGAGCCCATTGACTCCGACCCTCCGCCACAGGCTCACTCCATCGGCATGGTCCCAGTGGCGATGCAAATGCCCATGTCCGTGGATGTACCCGTTTCCAACCCGACCCGACGGGCCTCCACCAAGGACCGCCACACGAAAGTCGAGGGACGCGGGCAGAGGATCAGAATACCCGCCACGTGCGCGGCCCGGATCTTCCAGCTGACCCGGGAACTCGGCCACAAGTCCGACGGCGAAACCGTCCGGTGGCTCCTAGAACACGCCGAGCAAGCCATCATCGAGGCCACCGGCACCGGCACCGTTCCCGCCATCGCCGTCTCCGTCGGTGGGACCCTCAAGATCCCCACCACGGCCTCCACTTCGGCCGACGACAACTCCTCGCCTTCCTCCACAGCCAAGAAGCGAAAACGCCCCTCGAATTCTGAGTTCGTGGACGTGAAGAACGATGCCGTTTCGCAGTCGTCGGGTCTGGCTCCGGTAGGGCCCGCGGCGCCACAAGGCCTGGTTCCGGTCTGGGCCGTGGGAGGCGCCGGGCTGATGGTCCCGGCGAATGCGTTCTGGATGGGCCCTGTGGGCTCGGGTGCGGGACCGTCCGGCCCACAACCGCAGATATGGGCCCTGTCGCCGACAGTGACGCCGGTTTTCAACGTGGCTGGGGCTACCCGGCCCATATCGAGTTTTGTGGCGAATAACGGAGGAGGAGTGGAGGTTCGGGCTCCGTCGCCGGCTCTGTCAAACTCGGCGGCGAGTACGAGCACGGTGGGGTCGAGGGCGGCGAAGAGGTCGTCGACGACAATGGCACCGAGCGTGAGCTCGTCGAGTAACAACAGTAACGGTAGCGGGAGTGGCGCGAGCAAGGCTCAGATGCTGAGAGATTTTTCTCTTGAAATTTACGACAAGCAGGAGTTGCAGTTCATGGGTCGACCCATCGGCCAGCCAACAACTCATCATCAACATCAAACCCAGTGATTGCAAAACCGCCATGAGAGAGTGAGTGAGTGAAGTGAGTTGAGCGAGCTCTTTCTTAGTGTTCCGAATTTGATCAGAGCTGATGAAACAGCTGCAAATTCAAAATAAAAAAAGAATTTAGAAAAGAAAAACAAAAATATTATTATTGGGTTTTTGTTGTTTTGCTTTGTCCCCTTCGTTTATTTGGTTCTGATTTCCTCTCTCAAAACTTGTATGCCTCAACCCAATCCACCATTTTCTTTTTCTTTTTGATTAAATAATTTTTATAAAAACCAAATAATAAAATAATGCATGATAAAGTTATCTTCATGCAAATAGATGGCGTTGAAGAGTGTAGTAGTCTACTGGCGGAGGTGGTGGAAGCTAACTGCGTGAAACTCTTTTTCGGGTACCTTTTGTTTCCGGGTCGGACCGTACGCACACGTGTTAGGAAAGGTCACACGTGTTACGTGTTCGGAGTAGGCAGGGAGTTCGTTGAGCCTGGCTGGCTGGGGCTATGTTTGTGTGTGGTGTGGTCCACCTAGAAATGATGGGCCCAAACCCGTAGTTTATCCAAACCCTCGCATCTCCCCCACCCTCTTCAAAACGACGTCGGCAGTACTCCCCTCGTCAACGCGTTTCTGTTTCGGACGTGGAAGCCACGCTCGTTGTGGGTGCGTTGATGAGGGTAGGGGCATCAACGAGAAAGATGTGATCCCTCCCCGTGGAGGGTGGGCCATCGTTGAAGCTGTCAATGGCTGGGCGATGAGGTCGCGTGCACCGAGGGATGTGGTGGAGGTTGTGGGGTCCACCGGCTAACACTTGGGGGGGATTTGATGTTTGGATTGGGCCCACATTTGCACTCCCCACAGTCCCCAAGTTGGGTTGGTTGCTCCGATCGAGATGGGAAGGCACAAGAAAAGACTGGGCTCCATATTCGTGTGGGCCCGCAGCTGTACGTCTACCATGGACGGTTCCCATATCTGGTGGCCCATCTCAATATTTTATTTGTTTTTAATGTTTGATTGAACATGAGTCTTCGCGCACACACGTGGCTTAATGCTGATCATTAATGCATGGAGAACTCACTATTCAAAAATAATTTAAGTAAATTTAATTACATACGTGAATCACTGACTTTAGTATTTTTATTATTTTATTTTAAAATATAATAAATTTGATATCAATTTCTGTTGATTCAAATTCAATTACAATATAATCAATCTTGTAGAAAATGAAAAAGACAATTTCTCCATACAAATACAAGTTCAAAAATTTATCATGCCAAAATCGCGGCACTCATGTGTTGACGCTAATCCAACCTACTTTCTTTTTCATGTTAGTATGATTGATCCATATTCTACTTTATTGTAACCAAAAAAAAAAAAGGAGAAAAACTTGTCCATATTCATTTTATGAAACACGGTGTCTCAAATATGGCTCATGTGCCACTTACATGATGTAACATTTTTGAGACATTTGTTTCGTGAAAGGGGGCAAAGTTTTCCTCCTTCAAAAGGTTGAGAAGTTGTGATAACTCCATCTCCATGTATGACATTGGATATGATCAAGATAACTTTTCTTAGAGGCCTTAGATCACTACAAATCTTGATTGTCAAATAGCTAAAGAAAAAGAAAAAGTATACAATAATCCAAGTAGCTTCAATAAACTACTAAATCACATTTTCTCAAAAGGAAGTTTGGGCTAAAAAAAAAAGAATTGCTTTTCTTCGTCTCCCAAGTTTATTATCACCCTTCTTCAATGGGGTCCACAATATATTACTCAGTAAATGGTAGGGATCTATCTATCCACTACGTTGCAGTCGAGGGTC